ATAATGATACGAATTCTACTAATAAGAACAATATAAAACGCACTACGGATTAATGAACTGGTGGATTCATGAATATTAATCAGGTTGTGTGCGTTCACTCAAACTGATTTGCTGAAATCAAAACAGGGACGATAATAGCTGAGCGCCAGCCAATGAGATTGCCGTTTGAGCATTAGTTCCGCCCCCTACCGGAGAAAGTTTTAAAAGCTGAATAATTCCAAAGGAACACTGTTATATTGACAGGAAAATACAACAAAGTATATTGTTTACATGTAGCGCGTCAATGGACCCTTTTCACAAGACTGAGATGACGCGTTTAACGGTCATCAGCATCGTAAATCCTCGAAAGTTTTTCATATTTGTATTTTTTTTTTAAAGTGTATGTACATTTAAAACACTATTCTTTGTATTATATCACCTTTGTATTATATCACCTTTGCATCAAATTACAAAAAAAACAGTTAACGCTAATGCGAGGGTGTTTCTAATGCAGCGTCTATGGGAGGGACGGTAAATTTGACATCGTTCTCTCTTCTGACTGCCGTTATCAGTCTCGCTCAATTTTTTTTCCTTTTATTGAAAGTTACGAAAACACTATCGTGGAGTTTTTCTTTTGCTATTTGAATATGCAAAAAATATATTTGTGGTGCTCTCCCATTCACTGCTCTTCAAGTTAACCCAACTATGACGACTTCCGCTGCTGAGAAACCCGGAAATGTGAAAAGGGTCCATTCTCTCTCTCTCTCTGCGTGTGTGTGAGACAAAGCGACGGCGAGTCGTGCGCCTTCACACTAGAGTTTACGGTACGTCAAATACAGGTGTGCTGCGCATCCATTGAGATGAAAAATAGCACAGATCGCTTGATGGAGAGCGAAACTCTGAAGCGCTCAGTCAGGGCGTGTTCGACGAGTGAAAATATATCCGTGCTAAACTTATACTTAGCCTCACACACTGGCGAGTAAAATCTGAGAATTTATTAGCCATTGGCTAATATTAGACATCATTTAGTCGCCCAGAGTGAAGATTTAGTTGCATATGCGAGTGATTTACTCGCAATGTACATGGTCTTAATATTATGTTACAATACTACTTTTTTGAACTGCATTTTAATCAAATGTATCCCAGGTGAGCATTCGAAAGAACATGTCCGCTGTGAACAGCCTGTTTTTTTAAGGGAACTGAAGGGAGATCTGTTAGTGCAGAAATTTCCATTATTCCTGTCATTTGATTATAATTGTCATTTAAATTACTATTCCGTGACTTACCTGTATGTTAAAATAAAGATTAAAAGAAAACAAAATGAAACATGAAATTAAAACAGGGTTGATTACATAACTGATTGAAATACAGTAATTCTTAATTAAATGGATTAAAGGCCACCTGCTGGACAAACACAGAACAAGTTGTTAGAACACACTGTTAGAACTTAGTCCAGACCACCAGTGTGAGTGAGTTTGATATTAAACAGCACACTGCCACACCGAATCCCCCCTTAAAACACCATGCTGCAAATCCCCCGGTGCTCTCAAGCATGCAAAGATTCCGGGTGCCGAGACGTACCATATTGACTATAGATTTTATCAATTTCTCATGCGCCTCTGTGCCCGGCTGCCCTTCTTTAATCTTTACCACTGGGACTTCCATTATTGTGATGGCCTGTAAAAATGAAGAATTGACGTCAACCTGGCAACCTAAAGCTGATAAATTTCCCAGGCTGGAGGGCCTTACAACCTGTCAGATCCGAGATGAGAACTTCAAACAAATGTCAAGAAAAGTCCAGGAGGAGGTTCTGCTATGTTAAGTTGCGTAAGAGCAGGGAGAATAGATTACTAAAAGAAGCAGCTACATCTGAAGTCTTCTCACATCATGTCAAGGGCAAAGAGAGGAGACTTTCAGGAACATCCCCATCCTCCCCCGAGCACTACATGTGAAGTTTGCATCCCGAATCCACACACATTTAACCTCATTTATCAAGCTCTGTGCCTAAATGCCCCATCACTGACCTGCGTTCCCTCCAAACACAACTGTCAGAGCAAATGAAGGAACATTCATAACCTTTCTTTCGTCAGTTAACTCCCAACAGCCACATACCACATGTCAGTGTAAGAATGTGGAGCATGGAATCCAGTTCAGAATCAGAGAGAACGCGGTCCTCAAAAGCTGCTGGTTCAAGCTACTGACACACTTGGCCAAATTCTGCATCTGTCCTGGACTCAAACAGCTCAATCAGATATTTCATAAAATGAAACAAAGACCTACTAAATGTCTACTGTTGTATAATAATCATAAAAACATACAGCATAATAAGACGAAGAAGAAACATTTGTGTGACAAGTGGCATTTCATCATAAGAAGAAGCCCAATTTATCACTGCATGACAAAAACAAATAAATAAATGAATTAAAAACAGCAAAACAATTCCATTGTCATAGGCACATATGGAAATATTTTTAATAAAAATGTACCCATTATTAGCGGGTGCTATAGCAACTGCTAAAATGAATACACTGCTGTCAAATTTTGGGGACAAAAGGAGTTTTGGGGGGGGGGAATTATTATTGAGCAAACATGCATTAAACTGATCAAAAGTAAAGACAGTAAAGACTTTTATATTGTTACAAAACATATTTGAAATAAAAGTTATTCTTTTGAACTTTTGGTTCAAAAATAAATTCCATTGTCATAGGCACATATGGAAATATTTTTAATAAAAATTTACCCATTATTAGCGGGTGCTATAGCAACTGCTAAAATGAATACACTGCTGTCAAATTTTGGGGACAAAAGGAGTTTTGGGGGGGGGGAATTATTATTGAGCAAACATGCATTAAACTGATCAAAAGTAAAGACAGTAAAGACTTTTATATTGTTACAAAACATATTTGAAATAAAAGTTATTCTTTTGAACTTTTGGTTCAAAAATATTATAATTGCTCAACATTAATATTAATAAGAAATCACCAAATCAGCATATTAGAGTGATTTCTGAGGGATTATGTGACACTGAAGACTGGAGTAATGATACAGAAAATTCAGCTTTGCGTCACAGGAATAAAATACATTTTAAAATATTCAAACAGAAAACAATTACTTTTAAATGTAATATATCACAATTATGTTTTCACTGTATTTTTGATCAAATAAATGCAGCCTTGGTAAGCAGAAGAGAACATTTTAAAAATTGTACTGACCCCAAACTTTTAAACGGTAGTGTACATGCAAACATGTCACCGCATATATTTGTGTAGTTCAGGTAAACTTTAATCAGTCAAGGACAGAAGAGTTTTATAATTTAAAAACTACTGTTTTATTATTTATATATTAATTTTTTTATGCCACGTCAGCAGCAAGATTTCTGTCTTCAAGGAGAAAAGTCACACAATTAACAAGAAGCTAAGACATTTAAGGTTAATTAAACTACTGTTTTAATTTAATTTTAAGAACACAAGCAAGAAGACATACAAATACTCTAGAGCAGGGGTGCCCAACCCTGCTCCTGGCGATCGACTGTCCTGCAAAGTTCAGCTCCAACCCTAATCAAACACACCTGAACAAGCTAATCAAGGCCTGAAGGGTTACTAGGAAGCTACAGGCAGGTGAGTTTTAATTAGGGTTGGAGCTGAGCTCTGCAGGACTGCGGCTCTCCAGGACCGGAGTTCGCCACCCCTGGTCTAGACCATCCTTAAAATTCAGTTAAAAAATAGTTTCAGTCAGGCAAACAGAAGGTTTGCATTTGTATCTTTTGTGTACTAAGCACTAAGCTGTGGAAGCCCATTTCTGCCACTGAATAAAAAAATTAATTAAAAAAAAGGTTATTGCGAGTTTATATCTCGCAATTCTGACTTTATTTCTCAGAATTGTGACTGTCTCGCAATTGTGAGTTTATATCAGGCAATTACGATATAATTATGACTTTTTAACTCGCAATTGGGAGTTTGTATCACGCAATTATGAGAAAAAAAGTCAGAATTGTGAGATAAAGTCGCAATTACCTTTTTTATTTTTTATTCAGTGGCGGAAACGGGCTTCCATACTAAGCTGACCAACACAAAATGACTTCCTGTTAGCAAACTGATTACTTTTAATCAGATTAGAAGATTTTGAAACTTTTCTTCTCCAGCTATAATCACAATGAACTTGAAATACTTCAGAAGGGTCTGATATATTCTTTTACCTCATTAATGTAGCTCATCTAGCTTCAGTGCAAATCTATATAAAGCTCAATATATATAAGCTCAACTCTCTTCTTTGGTACCTGAAGAGCTTTTTCAAGTTCTGCAATGTTGCCGGCCTCCCCCACCAACACCACTCTCGTCTCAACTTTGGGCAATACATCTGAAAAAATGAAAGAAAAGAGAGTTACAAAAGACTACAGGCAAAGGTGAATCTCTATGGAAATAGACAAAATAGAGTGGGAGAAAATAACCTCTTTTGTTATGTTTGTGCTCAGTAAAACGGTCCACCACATGGAACTGTCAGTTGATATAAGGTTGATCGAGATGGAGGGCGGTTCACTTACCCTCTGACTCGTCTACGTGTAGACCCATGAAAAATTGCTCCTTTGAGGTCTCGGCCATCCGGGAGTCGTATACGGAGGAGTCCACCAGCAGGCTGTGGCCCGGCCCTAAAGTAACTATGCTGCTGTCAGCCATGGCACCGTGACAAGGGGTGGTGACCCAGTCCTGTCCACAATATCACAAGCTGGAGGAGTGAACAAGGGCGGCACAGAAATAAGAGACAAACAGTTGAGTTTCTAAGAGGGAATGATCAAGGTTAAAGGAAGGAGAGAATCTCTCTCTCTCTCCATATATATATATATGTTATATATACAGTGGGTACGGAAAGTATTTGGATGAGATACAACTATTTGAAAATGTGGAATCTGAGGGTGCAAAAAAATCTAAATACTGAGAAAATCACCTTTAAAGTTGTCCAAGTGAAGTTCTTAGCAATGCATATTACTAATCAAAAATTTAGTTTTGATATATTTACAGTAGGAAATTTGCAAAATATCTTCATGGAACATGATCTTTACTCAATATCCTAATGATTTTTGGCATAAAAGAAAAATCGATAATTTAGACCCATACAATGTATTTTTGGCTATTGCTACAAATACACCCCAGCGACTTAAGACTGGTTCTGTGCTCCAGGGTCACATTTAAGAAACTATCGGAAAGTAATTAAACTATACCATCATTAAATCGCAATCATATGTGGATATCGGCGGTTATGAGACAAAACTTTTGGCATCATTACGACATTCACTGTCATCCAGTTCTTCATGTCATAGCAGGAAGGATACAGTACATCTGATTTCTGCATTCGGTTTAGCACAAACTGACAACATTCATGAGCAATACTGTAAAATAACAGTATCAGATGCTTTTACAGTACAGCTGGAATATTTATGCTACAACAATCATATTTTCTGAAATACATATAAAACATCTCCAGAGTAAATAGCCCACATTTTTACTACGTTTCGAGATTATTTATGTACAACCAGACCATGATAGAGATGAATATAATATATCAAGTAGAGGCAAATATTTGAAGAGGATTAAAGCTATTCAGCTTTACAAACAGCGGAGGAACAAAGCTTTACAGATGGCTTATACAACTTTCATGTCAGAATATAAAAGAGAGTATACATATTGTACATTACATTAGAGAATATTAATTCATCAAAAGTGCTGTGTTTCTGACCAACAGTCTCATAAGCAAACAAGCAATAAGCAACAAAACAATCAAGTGTATTTGAAGGAACAGTTCACTCAAAAATGAAAAGAATTGCTGGCAGCCATTGAAAAAATACTATGGAAGTCAGTGGCTATTTCTTCAAAATATCTTATTTAGTAGAAGAAATAAATTCATAGAGGTTTGGGATAACATGAGAGTGAGTAAATGCTCATTTCTGGGTGAACGATCCCTTTAAGCATTTCAGTCAAAGTTTCAGCAGGACAGAAAGGTCTAGAGTCTCTTCTTCTCAGTGTTTTCAAATGGCAGCCTCGGTGCAGATATCAGTGTCCGGCATTCACAGAGATCCGGATATTTCTTTTCAAATGCCTCTGCGTTTGCTGCTAAGACGCAGCAGAGGGAAAGAACAAAGGCTGCATGCTGAATTTCTGACTCACCACTACAGAATGTTGTCAATGTTATGTGGAATCCGTTCTGATCGGTCAGTTCACCTATTCCTTCAGTGGAGCAGATGTCTGTGTAGTATTACAAAAGATATCGAGCTGTTGTCGAGTATGGTGTATAAACATCACGGTGCGTTCAGCATGCAAATCTGCCGTCATGAGTGGGATGCGGCCCGGTGCTGTCGTCTGCCTCCTCTGTATCGGTGAGGGCAACGGTGCAGAGGTCACTGAAAATATCTAAAAGCAGAGAATGAGAAGATGAGTGACGTACTATACAGTTTTTATCCCCATCGAGAGCAACAGGAAACGGGTGGCAAAATAAAACCAGACCTTGCAACAGCCCTCAATCACAGCAAGGACAAGATCCGTACAAACAAGAAAACAGAAATGGCATGACAAAGATGCAAACCTTCAGAGTTATTCCTGTGCTTTACTTCTTTTTAAACGGGATGAGGGTGTTTTGTTTCTGCCGGTAAGCACAGGTGGAGAAGCATGAAGAGCAACATGAAAAGCATACAAACACAATTGTATATTCAGCTCCAGACAGCTGCAGGGCTCAACAATAAGGATTAATCTAATAAATTTTTTTGTAAAGAAAACCTAACTTTAATATTTTAAAAAATTAATTCGAAAAGTATATATATATAGTGTATATTTTTTCTAACATTTTCCTAAATATAATACTAAAAACTAATGGCAAAATCACAGGAATTATATAAATGGAATTATACTGAAATTATATATTACAGGAATTATATATACTTATATGAGTATGTGTCTTCTGTGAAGAAAACTCTAATTAAAATATTAAAATATATTCAAATGTTTTTTCCTGTCACACATATAATATAATGTAATATAATATTCATTAAGTGAAAAAAAATTTATCTGAGACACACATGTATGTGTATATATATATATATATATATATATAACCATTTATACATTACACTACTGTTCAAAACTTTTTGTTTTGGCATAAATGAATACTTTAATTTAACAAGGATGCATTAACATTTACATTACATAAGATTTGTATTTCTAAATAAGTGCTGTTCTTGATAAATCTTAAAATATGTTCTTAAAATATCGAGCATTTAAACTGTTTTCAACATTATCAGCATGATTTCTGAAGGATCATGTGACACTGAAGATTGGAGTAATTGCTCCTAAAAATTAAGCTTTGCCATCACAGGAATAAATGACATTTTAAAACATATATAGAAAATATCATTTAAATTGTAATAATATTTCACAGGTATGTATATCTGTTGTATATGTAAAATGCCAGCAGGGCAAAAATCCTTATAGTTGAGTCCAGAGCCGCCTCTGCACTTAGTCAAAGCTTTAAAGAAATAAGCAGCACCTTGTTACCATAGGAGAGCAAGGGTTTTGAGAAAACAAGACAAACAAGACCAAAAGTGGCATTGTGAGCACGCCAAGTTTTCATGGAATGAAGTGCATGCCTGTGGAGGTGATGTCATGCACACCTCTTAAAAAAAGCAGACAGCGCAAAGAGGTGCCTCCGTCAGTCTCGCCACCCACTGATCTATAGATCTCAAACTACAGCCGGCTTGTCTCAAGACAATGCCGTGTGTGCATTCACATGTATTTGAGTGAGAAGGGACTGAGTGACATCAGAAGTCAAAGTGCATCATCATCTAATGTAGATGTAATCCACACACAGTACAGCAGCTAGCAGTGTATGTGTCCAATAGCCATGAATGAATTTGCTGGTGACCATCAGTCCAGACTAAGTGATGTCAGTCATGCCCTTCTGCTGCTCGTCCTGGAATTGGTGTGCGGTACCAGAGTTACTGTAAAGGTCTACTCCCTCTGCTGTGGACTGCAGGACAGTGGGTGGCACCAGTCCTGTCTTCTGAGTTCTAAGGTTCTTGACTAGCCTAGAACATGAGAGACAGTGTTCATCTTCAATGGCAGCATGAGCTTAAAGCTTTGTGCTAGAGAACCTGGAGTTCAACAAGGGTTCAGTATGATCGGCTGACTGCTTGGAATTGTAATTCAGACAACAAAAAAAAGGTTCGATGGACCTGTTCTATGCAGCCGACCACAAAGAAGAGTCACTATGGAATTGGAGGATAATAGTATCCATATCTGATCCAATGGACAAACTAATCTATAAACTTAAATCTATAATATTGATTTTACAAGTTCTCCAGGTTGACACTGCCCTCTTGTGGTCAGGATCATTTCTGCTGTTTTGTGGCTTAACGGGGTCATATGATGCAATTTCAAGTTTTCCTTTCTCTTTGGACTGTTAAAAGCTGTTCATGCATAGATAAGATCCCTAAAGTTGCAAAGGCTAAAGTCTCAAACCCAAAGAGATATTCTTTATAAAAGTTAAGACTCATCCACGCCCTCCTAAAACGCCTCGTTTAAACACGCCCCCACATGTCTAGGTCACTGTGTGGGAAGATTTGCATAACACCGCCCAAATGTTCACTCATTTGGGAGTTGATCATAAAATAGCTTGTCAATTAAAATAATTGCTGATATATTTCCTGAATTTTCAGACCAGATCTGAATAATTTTCCAGGACCACAACAGATTGTTAATACAAGAACATGGCCTACTCCGGGCAAGTTTGGTGCACTGTGAAAGTTGAACAAGTTTTTGTAGGGTAAAATTTTGAGTTTTATTGGTTATACTGTGGGATTTTGGGATTACGTTGTGATATTGGTGAGCAGTATCAAAAAACAGCACAACCACAAGCAGTTTCTTGACTGTATATCGCATACACTCCTGACACAACTGAGCAAACTCCAAAGCATCCAGTGGCTCAAGATGTGAAGCTAGCTACCTAAACCTTAGCTCGGCTCTGCACAATGTCAAAACATCCATGAAAGCTTGAAAACGTCTTATGAAGGGTTGGAGGGGGTTGATTGGTGAGCAAAGAAAACTTTGAAACACTTTACAAAGCAGAAACTCAAGCGCTGAAATTGACTGGAGACAGTTTCCAAGATTAAATATGTATGAGATACTTCAGCATACTGCTGGCTTTTTCCATTTAATTTTAGAAATGTTACTAAGTGCAGATTAGGTGGTATTCAGCACCAACAGGGTGGGCATCAGACCCCTGTGAAACCTCTCTTCCATCTTGGCTTTTGGAGACAATTGGGTAAATGAAAAAAAAAAAAAAAACATGTGCCAAGTTCTTAGAAATGCACTTAGAAATGGTTTCATGTGTTTTTGAAAAACCTTTTCAATTGAACAACTTTGAAAATGTCATGTGGCGTTAATAACACAACTTAACATACTTTCATTAGCGGCCTACAGTGAGCAGAGGCCGGGGGCTAGCGTGAGGAACGGCCGGAGGGTTAGAGTGAGCAGAGGCGGGTGGGCTTGAAAATGGCGCGGCCGGCGATTTTGACGAAGGAGCGTCCGGAAGTACATGTGACGACTCCGGGCTGGACTCCGCTTCATCCACGGTGAAAGCCGATCCGGCGATCCACAGCGCAAAGTTGTAGTATTTCCTCAGCAACCAGCACGGATCAGCTCCAGGCATGACGAAGCTGATATCGTTCTCTTTTTGAAGACCA